GTATACTCTTGGAAGTCAAGCTTCCTCTGTGCAAGGTGCCGTGTGCCCCGTCACACTATACTTCAAACAACTACGGGTCAGCGGATCGCAATTCGCTTACTCCAAGAGTGATTATTGCCTTAACCCAAGACCAATCCGTTTTAAATCCAAAACTGATTTTATTAAATAACGAGAATGCGAATACATATTGCGTTGATGACTAAGGCCATATTGCGATTTCGCTCTTGCGGCCCAGTAGGGTGTGATGTGATCTGTTGCAGACGGATCTGCCTTTCAATCATCCCCTGTAGCTGAACCTCCCTCTAATTTAGTTCGATGATTGATATGAGTCGCTGTAAGCTCCTCAAGCAACGCAGTGAGGTGGTAGAGATCAATGACGCATTCAAGGTCTTAGTCTTTTACGTCAACTGAAAGTCTTGGAGACGACATGCCGCCACAGAGAAAACAATTATCAAGAGAGGGCCGATCTCGTCGGCACTGCTTGGTGAACGAGGCGTGTCCCACTTCCACGTGGAATATTCAATGGGCTGGCGAGTGAACTCCAGTGATACAGTCACCTTCATTCGGAAACGCATTCGAGTCTGAGGGACACTCTGACAAGAACGCTGGTGGCGTTGACGTTTACGACCCACCCATCCTTGGTCTTTACCTTTGTAGGGAAAAGGCGGGATCTCACACCACAACGAGCGAGCGGAGACCAACGTTGTTGTAGGTACCGCATCATGTCGTCAGCTGTGACGGCTTTCTCATGTTGACGATAGGACTGTAAATAGCAGGAATCGAAAGTGATTCATTGTCTCGTTGCTGTCCGTATGTGCTTCATACTCCGTAAAGTCAGGCGTTAATAACGCCATATTCGACTTTCACTTTATTGAAGCAGGAACGTAAAACCTTTGAGACGTTAGCAATTTTTGTTAGCCTACTCGACCTATGGTACAACTCTAATAAAAAGTACGGATCTTGCCGACTGCCGCTGCTTGTAACACATGCAATACCCTCAAATGTGATGGTTTGTGGGGCCGAAAGGCACCCACGCAGTGACGTTTTGAGGTCGAGATAGCTTGTTGATAGAGTCATATCGGATCCACCCGGAGCAACTTCTGATCATGTAAAGTTTAAGCTGCGATGTGATCATTATGGCAAGAATTGGCATGTTTCTTTGTGGCTGCAGACGAGCGCAATATGGTCTTTCAGATCCAGATCCAGTGTACTGGTGATGAGTAGTATGTTGTCGTGTGTTGCACGGCGGGATGCCGCAATGCCATCTGCCCCAGAAAAGGATTGGAGGTTGAATTGTGCAGAGGGGATGTAGAGATAAGTGAGCGCCCCTTTCCGGTGAATAGCTTCGCCGTTGTCTTCAAATAAGAGTGAAAATTTTGAGTCAGGCCTTGGAGAGTCGCTGTGACCGCTCTCATCGGCTCTTGCACAAGGTTCTGTATAGACAAAAGAAGAGTAAATACCAGCGTGTCGACATCTAAATGGGAGCCGTACTATTGTCTAATACTTTTGTACAAATTACACGAAATTTACGCCATACCGAAGTTTGGTATATATAAATGAAGTCTCCAATGCAGTCTTCGGGCTGGTATTGTGTTGAATCATAATAACTGTAAGAAGAGGTCCTTGGCACACATCTGCACGTTTAATGATTCAAACAGCTATATCATGAGATCTAATAGATACTTATACGTAGTGTCAGTCTACATTGGAGTTATATCATATATGTCACTCTTGAGATAGCATATATAGCAAACAAAAAACTTTAGATGCCCTCACTTTCGCTCTGGATGAGAGTGAAAAGGTAACCTCTCTGCGCTCTATACGCGAACGCTCTGGGTGGAAACTTCTTTGCTATGTGCACCGCAACCCCATACCACACATTTTCTATTAATCTATGAGATGTCTTCATTACTGTCATGTTTATGATAACTGTTATAACCAGACCTCTCTATATACGGAATATTTCTTATATTCCGTATTTCTACGAAATACGGAGCGCGACTGGAACAAAATACGGAAGATACGGCATTTTATTGAAAACCGGTGCTAATCCTCACTGATTCTTCAATAAAGAGCGAATTTGACGACTGTGTAATAATCCTTCCAGGGAAAATGGAGTAAGATTCGATCTGTGAAGATCTTTTTCCCATTTAAGGACAGAAATCGCTTTCAACCGTGGCGGTTTTAGGGAAAGGGGAGGCTAAGCCTCCGAAGAACTCCATAAGTTCAGGAAACCTGCCCTTCAGTCCTGGAATACTCCAAGCTTC